CCAGTTAGCCCCAAAAAGGGAGTGAAAAGGTAGTAAAAATGTCACCGTCCTCCTGGTGGGACTTTCTGCAGAGGCTGCCACCCTGTAAAAACAACACTGTCCAATCAGAAATCCACTTCGTAGAAAAGGAGGACAACTGATGGCTGTAAAAATTTTTTTTTCTTTAAAAAGATCACCCTGGGGGTGTAGGTGTGTGTGTGTGTCTCAAATAAAAAGTGCAACAGACCTTTTCTCTCTGGTTTATTTTAACCTGTCAACTCAATACTGTTATTTGTTAAGAACTGAGGTGCCACTGGGCTGCCGGGTCACTGTCTCCATGCCTGGGACCGGAGTTAAAGCTCATCTGTAAACACTGGCCACACTGACCCCTGCCCCGCCCCGGCCTGCCCCTCCATCCCCTGCCCTCATCTCTCCTCCCCCAGCCCGGTCTCATCTTGTATTATCAGCTTTTCTTCCATTATTATATAATTTCTATCAGCTTTCAACATCCTATACTTCCCTTTCCATTGAGTTAAAACCCTTCCTCAACTCATAGCTCCCTTTAGCAATGCCCTTTTCCCCTTCAGCAAAATTATTTGAAAGTGCTGTGTGTCCTAGCTCTAGAAATCTTCCTTTGGGCTATCTTGATTTGCTGTAATTATGCTGTCATCTTCACTCCTCTGTTGAAGCTGGTCTTGCCAAAGTCAGCACTGTTCCTCAGTTGCTAAATCCAGTGGTCATTTCTGATTTAACAGGAATAGTGGAGTCAATTGATCACCTTTCCTTCTTGAAGCATCTTGGAAACACTTAGATTGTAGGACTCCACGCACTGCTGGTTTTCTGCCGATCTCACTGGCAGTTCCTTCTTATGGCCTTGGCTAGTTATTCTTTATCTCCCTGGGAGGACTCCAGGGCTCTTGGACTTCCTCTCCATCTCTACTCATTCCTGTGGGATCTTATTCAGTCTCAGGCTTTAAATTACATTCATATGCTCATAACGCCTTTGAATTTCAGGTTCAGATATTCAGTTGTTCATTCAGCATCTCCAATTGGATGTCTAGTAAGCATCTCAAAATGAACATATACAAATCCAAACTCTTTTTCTGAATCCTTACCCCAGGATATTTTTTTCCATTGGTTTTTAGAGAGAGTGAAAGGGAGGGAGGAGGAGGGGGTAGACAGAGTTGTCTAGCTGGGCATCCTGCCAAAGCAGGATTAAGTTGCCTGAGTTTAGGTGTTGACAAGTAGAATGATGGGGATCACATTAAGTACCTTCCAATTCTTCTGAACATCCTCCCAGTTGTACTCTTATGTAATTGTTCACTATTCAGGATTAGACTTTGGGCTCTCGGCAAGTGACACATTTCCTCCTGGTCAGCAGCCCATGCTGTTGGGAATGAAAAGGGTTGATGGTTAGTGGAAGTCGTTGTCGTCCGTGAGCTCGATGATGCCGCCGGTGCGCAGGGCGATGTGCGCTTCGATCTCCTCGCGCGCGCGGTCCACGTTCTCGGGCATGCCCGTCACCTCGAACACGGGCTCCTTGTCGCGGCTGGGCGTCACGATGTACGTGTGCGTCTGCTGCTGGATGCGCTTGATCGTGGCGCCCTTGGGCCCCACCACCAGCCCCACCACGCGGTAGGGCACGCGCACCTGGATGGTGGTCTGTCCCGGCAGGTTGGGTGGGCCCTGCGCAGTGCCGGGCAGCCCACCGGCCTTGCTGCGGGTGGCTCGGATCACCGAGAAGTGCTCCGCCGCAGACAGGATCTCGCGTTTGGCCATCTCCACGTCCTCCTGGCGGCCAGTTACGATGAAGATGGGCTCCTCCCCACGCACCGGCGTCTTGATGTATGTGTTCGTCTTGGCCCGCAGAGCCTTGATTTTGCACCCTGGGTTGGGGGGAGGGGAACATGGTGAGGACCGGGACCCCTCCCCAGGTCAGTCTGTCTGGGGCAGCAGCTGGAGGGGCCAGGCCAGCTGGGAGCCTCCATTTGGGGGCTGTACCCCTGTGGCATTTTGTAATCTCAGACATACTGCGTCCTACCCTGGGACCTGGGACCTTAGTTTCTCCTCTGGTCATGCGAGGGACACCAGGGGCCCTGGCGCAGGGGCCCCGTTGACGAAGGCCAGCACAGGTGCAACATGCTGGGTGCCCCTGGGGTTGGCAAAAAAGCAGGAAGGCAAGGACTCTGTTGTGGGTTGAATAGTGTCCCATAAAATTCATGTCCATCCAGAACATGAGAATGGGCTCTTACTTGGAAATGGGGCATCTACACGTGTAACTAGTTAAGATGAGGTCACAGTAGGGTAGAGTGGGCCCTGAACGCAAGTGGGACACACAGAGTCAGCCATGTGACAAGGCAGGAGTTGCAGTGACGTGGCTACAAGCCAAGGGACACCAAGCACTGCTGGCAGCCACCAGAGGCTGGGAGAGCGGGCATGGGACAGACTGTCCCCTAGGGCCTCTGGAGGGCGCACACCCCTGCCAACACCTTGACTTCAGATTTCCAGCCTCCGGAACGAACGAGAGAATTTCTATTGTTTCAAGCTATTCAGTTGATTATGTCAGCCCTAGGATATGAGTGCAGATCCTCTGGCATCAACCCCCTATCTGACAGGTGTGGAAACCCAGGCTCAAATTGTGTAAGCTGCCTACAATTTTCTTCTGACCAAGTGACCCTTCAGCCCCATGCAGGTGAGGTGAGGCCTCAGCCCAATGTAGACTCCTAGGCCTGAACTCAGGACACCTGCCAAGGTCCTGAGGGGCCTGGCCTCTGAGGGAAGCTCAGGGACTTGGGAACATGACACTGTGCTCCATCCTGCCGGGCTGGGGCTCCCACCCTGTGGAGGGGCAGGGGCAGTTGTTCAGGATCTGATAGCGGTGCCTTCCCAGGTCCCTGATACCCACCCTCCAAGGCCTTCTGAGACATCTTGAGTCCAGGCCAAGGAATCTGGAAGACACCCCCCCCACACACACAACCTCAGGGGAGGCTAGAGGGACACAGTGATATTGTATCGATACAGAGGTGGCATTGAGAGGAGTAACAGTGTTGCTAACTTCACAACATTGAAAGACACAAAATTAGCAGAATCATGCCCTGGCCCTGTTTCTAAATGGTTCGAGCGCTGACCAACACACCAGAGGGTCACGGTCGCTTCCCATCAAGGGCACGTACCTGAGTCGTAGGTTTGATCCCACAAATGGGAAGCGACCAGTTGATGTCTCTCTCTCACACTGATGTTTCTCTCTCTCCTCCCCTCTCTTCCACTCTCTCTGGAGTTAGATGGAAAAAGTATCCTTGGGTGAGGTTCTCTCTCTCCTCCCCTCTCTCCCACTCCCTCTGGAGTTAGATGGAAAAAGTATCCTTGGGTGAGGATTAACAAAAGAAAAAGAAAGAAAGAAAAAAAATGTTAGCGGGATCAGCATGTCTGCCCAGAAAGAAAACAAGGAGATGGTGCCTAGGCCAGGAGACCGCTCATTGCAGAGGTGGTAGGGGGCATCCAGGGGCAGCCTGACAAGAAGACAGTAGCTTCCCAACCAGGGCCTTGAGCAAAAGCAGGGCAGGTGAATTGGGGTCAGAAATCTCGGAGGAAGGGGCTGCATTCCTACTACCTCCATGCCCCACCTCCTGGGTCCTTAGTCACCCCACCACCACCACCACCACCACCAAAGCTGTGTTGCGCGACCGGCATTCTCTTTGGCCCCCCAAACCCACCCTGACCTGTGGCTGCTCCAAACCAGCCCTGATGGTCCGTCCCCTCCCTACCTGGCAAACTCCCTCTGCCTTGGCCATGCTGTCCCCCACACAAAACTGTCCTCACCATCCTCACCCCCAGTCCTGGCCCTTCTTTGCATCACATTACAGCCTGGTACTCCCTCCTCCCGGAAGCCCAACATGGACTGGGCCAGGAGAAAGGGGGGACTGGGCCATGAACTTCCAGAGTTCCTCCTGCCACCATGTCTGACTTTCAGAACGTCCTGAAGCCAGGGGACTATGCTCTAAGGCAGTGGTTCTCAACCTTCCTAATGCCGCGACCCTTTAATACAGTTCCTCATGTTGTGGTGACCCCCAACCATGAAATTATTTTCATTGCTACTTCATAACTGTAATTTTGCTACTGTTATGAATCGTCATGTAAATATCTGATATGCAGGATATATTTTCATTGTTACAAATTGAACATAATTAAAGCATAGTGATTAATCACAAAAACAATATGTAATTATATATGTGTTTTCCGATGGTCTTAGGCAACCCCTGTGAAAGGGTCGTTCGACCCCCAAAGGGGTCGCGACCCACAGGTTGAGAACCGCTGCTCTAAGGGCTAGTAAACTGGGGGTTGCCCTGGGCCCTTGGGGGAACCTTCCTGTACCTCAATTCCCTCGCCCATAAAAGGAGGGCTGAAACACCTAGCCTCACAGATTTGGGGCTGGACCCAAAGGGCCATGGTCCCAGGCAGAAGCCCTGCCCCTGAAATGTTTGTTTCTAGCAAAGTCACGTGAGGAGGGAATCTATTGAGGCTGGAGAAAGGGGGGATTTGCCAAAGGAGACCCTCCACCCCGCAACCACTGATCTTCTGTACAGATGAATAAGTGGGCCTTGAACCCAAGCACAAGGCTGGAGCAATGAGTCCCTAAGGTGGGTGAGGGCAGGAGAGGGACCATGTAGCTTCCCCTTGGGTGGCCCTGAGTGGAGCCCTTAGTGGCCAAGAGGAGTCTAATTTACTGACTGCACTTCAGCTGTGACACCTGTTGGCCCCCAAACCCAACTCACGTCAAGACCGTGAGAGGGGGCAGAGCTTGGGAGGGTGGGATTGTCCAGTCGAGGAAATTGGGGATCCACAGTGATCCGGGACACACTCCCTACCCCAGTGGGGATGATAGAGTGCAGTAAGAGTGGATGGTGAGCCCTGGCTGGTGTTGCTCAATGGTTAGAGTGTCAGCCTGCACACTGAAGGGTCACAAGTTCGATCCCTGGCCCTGGCCTGCAGGAGGCAACTAATCTATGTATCTCTCTCGCCCTCCCTCCAATTAAAAAAAAAAAGCAATGGAAGAAATATTCTCCTCGGGTGAGAATTAACAACAAACAGGAGTGGGTGGTGACAGGGGGCTGAGTCCCATGCCTGGGGAACTCTGGGGGCCACCACTGATAGGTGGGCATAAACTGAAATGCAGGTTCCTCGGCACTGCCCTCAGGATGCCAACTCAAGAGAACGGGGTGTGCTTGGGAATGTGGAGCTAGCCCTCGGGGCTGACACTGTCCTGCCTCAGGCCCTAGCAACCCTCCCCTCAAAGTGGGAAGGCTAGTAGACGAGGGCAGCCCTTTGCCTCCCGTCACTCACATGACCCCCTTATGGGGTCCTGGCCATACCCATGTGCTGGCACTCAGAGAACCAGGCCCCATAGGTGACCACAGGCTACCCCTGTCCACAAAGCCTCAAGGTTATGAGGGGAAGGAGGACACGGCAGAGGAGCACTCCCCCAGAGGAACAGCGGGGGCAGAGCTCCGGAAGCAGGACAAGTTCCCACAACCAGGCAAGGCCAAAGTGGACTGCAGTCCTGGGTGGGTCACGTCCCAGCAGGGTGGTCTGGGGAGGAAGCTGGCTTGTCTGGGACACAGGGACACGGGGAGCTCCCCATGGCAGGACTGGTCTATAATTGCCAACACAAGGAGCCCCCAACCCCAGCATGGACACCTCTGTATTTCTATGCCCCACAGTGGATAGAAGGAACACCAAGGCATGGACCCCAACACCCCTGCAGTGTCCTGGCTGCCAGAAAGGACACCTGATGCCTGCAGGGTTGGGGCCAGAGAAGAACAGACAATGGGAGACAATTCCAGGCCACCACCCACAGCCTGACCTCAGAGATGGGAGAGACCTGAGGCCCTGCCTTCATCATCGCGCACAGACCCAACACGACCACGCCCAGCCCTGGTCAAGGCATGGGCACAGACTCGCCCTGCGTACAGGACATGGATGGCAAGAAGGGGGGGGCATGGGCCCAAGGTCACCCCCACGGCCAGGGCACCAGCCTCCCAGGAAGCAGGGTAGGCAAAGCCAATGAGACCAGGGTTCAAATCCCAGCCCGGCCTCGTCTCCCACAGCCTCTTCCTCCTGTGCCTTCTTGGGGAGGGGTGGCCCTGAATCTAGGAATTGACAGAAAAGGATGAGTAACTGAGGGCAGGCTGTGCCCCCTGCACTGGGGAGAGCCTGAGCAGTAAGGAGGGGCAGGCTTGGCATCCAGGGACCCACAGGGTAGAGAGTGGGGTGGGTGATGGGAGGAGGGAAGGGGTGGAGGTGGGGCAGTCTTTCAGGGTGTGCTTGAGAACTGGGTGGGAGAGGATGGGAGCCGCAAATGGTTCTGGAGCTGGGGCAATGCAACCTGTCCTGGTATTCAGGCTCCCTCCCTGGTACCCCGTACCCCATTCGTGGGGTGGTTACTGAGTGCCAGACTGGGGTTACAACCAGTGCCTTAAGGATCCACACAAAAACCCTGAGGGAGGTGCTGCCCCCCATTACAGAGAAGGGCTCTCATTTGCTCAGGGTCACAGGGCCTCCTCAGTCTACAGGATTCACTGTATTGCCTAGTCTTCTTTGTTGTCCACAACCACCAAGAATACAGGCTGGCACCCAACAACCGGGTGCCAAATGCACACCCGGGAGGCTGGGTGGAGCCTGAGGCCCCAGGCTCACTCCGCCACACCACTCAGCCTGCGGCTACAGGTTCGAGTGCCCTCTGCCGGACTCCCATCACCACCTGTAAGGCATAAGATGAGGCCTCTCCCTCAGGTGTCAGGACCGCATATTCACACAAAACACACCCTCATGCTCCACTGCATAACAGATGAGCCTAGTGATTTGGGCAAATGGCCCCCAGGCATCGGTATCCACACCTGCCCACCCGCAGGCTTCTGGACACTCAATGTGTAACTACCTGTTACATGTCCCAGTGCAGTTATGGGGCAACACATGAGCCTAGTGATTTTGGGCAAATGGCCCCCAGGCATCGGTATCCACACTTGCCCACCCGCAGGCTTCTGGACACTCAATATGTAACTACCTGTTACATGTCCCAGTGCAGTTATGGGGGACAGGAGTGGGGAAGTGGGGGCCTATATAGGAAGGGTGGTGAAGCAGAACTGTGTGGCATGGGTCTAGCCATGTCTGAGCCTGAAGGCAGCGGGCAGGGTTCAGAAAGTAACCTGTCTTCACTCCTGATGGTGGATCTCAGCACCACGCCTGGCACTCCTTGTGTCCACATGTGGAAAGGACAAATGAATGACCAGAGGGCTGGCTGGCCGAGCCACCCCACCCACTGGAACCAGCAGAGGACCGTGCCTAGAGCATCACTGTGGTCCTCTGCTTGTGGTGGTGGTGAGGGTGACAGGCCACCTTATAATTCAGGTCACCACCCACCCTTCTCTGGCTGCTGTTCCTGAGGGCCCAGAGGCTGGGACACCCCCCCTCCCACAGCCTGAGTGTCCTTTGGCCCTACCTAAAGCCCCGCCCAGGCCCCACCCCAAGTTCTAGAACCTGGCTGACCACAGGAGGCCAGCAGGGAGGGGGGAGGTGTGGGCAGGAAGGCAGGAGAAAGTTGAGGCTGGTGGGCAGGCAGCTAACAGGGTGGGTGGGTATGCGGGCACTGCCCACCACCCTCCGCCCACCCCGCAGCTCCAGGGCCAATGAGCGGCGGCCAGCCTGATGTCACCCTGCAAATCTGAGTCTGGCTCTCTAACAAAGAGAACAATGGGGCGGCCACAGGGAAGCTCGGCAATGCCACCGAGGGGACCCCTACATCCAGGGCCCGTTTCCCACCTGCCTGCTAGGCTACGGCCATGGGTTGGAGCCCCTTTTACAACGGGTCCTTCCACATAACCCCAAATTCCCGACGCACTGAGAGCAGGGTGGGACCCTGTCTCATCCTGTCCTGCCCCCACACCCCAGCAGGGTCCCCAGGCTGGCAAGTCGTGACGAACCCTTTGTGCGGCCAAACTTCTCTCATCGCCCTAACGGAGCACCCCCCAACCAGAGTTGGCCCGCCCCATGCATGTTTTGAGGGAACCACCTAGCCGGGGCCCTGGTCCCCAGGATGGCACAGCCCAGGGCTCCGCAGCAGCGCTGCACCTTCCGCGCTGGAGGCGCCCAGACAAAGGCAGCGGCGGGGCCGGAGC